GCATCATTTGCAGCTGCGCAGAAGGCAGATCCAACTTTGAAAAAGTGTTTTGAGAAAGCGATGTTTCCAGGTTACCAACATGCCAGAAATGGGAAATGGCAATTTTATGTCAAGAATGGACTGTTGATGCGTTACTTCGAGGCTCCACTCCATATTTACAAACAACTAGTGGTACCTAAAGCACATAGGGTCGAGGTTATAAAGACTGCACATGATATTCCTTTTGCAGGGCACTTAGGTACTGGTAAGACACAGAGAAGGATTCTTTCTCAATTTTACTGGCCAGGTTTCTCCAAAGACATCAAAACATATTGCAGGTCATGTCAGCAGTGTCAACGGATGGCAAGAAAGGATGCATCACAAAATGCTCCAATCCAAAAGACAGACTTACCATTTCGTCCATTCGAGAAAGTAGCTGTCGACATTGTTGGACCACTTTCTATTATGTCAAAAAGAGGATATCGCTACATATTAACCTTTATTGATCTTGCTTCTCGTTGGCCCGAGGCGGTGCCGATGAAATTTATCACTACAGAGGCAGTAGCGGAAGCTCTTATATCTATATTTTCTAGACTAGGGTTTCCTGATACCATTTTATCAGACCATGGATCTCAGTTCATCTCAGAGACCATGCAGTCTTTTGACAAACTTCTGTCGATCGCACACGTATTTTCAGCTCGGTACAATCCGAAGTCAAATGGTGTGGTAGAAAATTTTAACGGGCGCTTAAAAGCCATGCTAGCAAAAGTTACAGCTGAATTTCCAGATGACTGGGATAGGTATCTACCTGCTGTACTTTTTGCATACAGAGAGGTTCCGCAAGCCAGTACTGGATTTTCACCTTTTGAGCTTGTTTACGGTGCCAATCCAAGAGGCCCTTTGTCTATTTTAAAAGATCAGTGGTCAGACCGAGACAGGGAGGGTTCTTTTGAAACATACTCTGAGTTTGTGACAGAGTTGCGTCACAAAATTATCTCTGGTTGTGAAATTGCTAGACAAAGCCTGGATGTTGCAGGAAGTCGACACCGTGAATATGCTAACAAGGGACGTCGACTGATTTCATTGAAATCTTCTGAGCAGGTTCTTCTTCATCTACCAGACACGTCAAATCGACTGTTGACATGCTGGCAGGGTCCATTCGAGGTAGTGAAAAAGATTTCATCTGTAGACTATCTGGTTGATGTGAGAGGACATAGAAAAGTATACCACATTAACATGCTCAAGCTTTTTAAACCACGTCCAGCAGAACTAGAGACAGTTATTGATACTGCTAATAGGGAGATTGAGAACACAGATAGGCTTAATTCAGACGCTAATTTCTGTTACGTTGTTGACGAAACTCCATGTAATGCTGAGGAAAGTACCTCATTGCATATTGTGTTGCCTGCATTAGAGCCAAAGGAGTCTTGGAAAGATGTAGAAATTTCACCATCTATTTCCCAAGAATACCAACATAAATTCCAACAACTCTTACAGGAATTTCCAACTACGTTTACTGACATTCCGGGTAGAACAACGCAAGCTGTACACACCATTAAGTTAGTAGATGATTGTCCAATCAAGTTGCGACCATATAATCTACCGCTACACTATCAGGAAGCGGTTGAGAAGGAAATGGACGAGATGTTGCGTTTAGGGATTATAAAACCATCATCATCACCATATTCTTTTCCCATGGTGATTGTTAAGAAGAAGGATGGAAACATACGCATCTGTATTGACTACAGAAAATTAAACCGTGTTACTGTTTTAGATGCAGAGAATATGCCAAATATAGAGGATTTGTTTCACAGGTTAGCAGGAGCTAAATATTTCACAAGGTTAGATTTGTCAAAAGGATATTGGCAAATCCCACTTGCTGAGGAGGCTAGACAATATACTGCCTTCCAGACACCTCGAGGCTTGTTTCAATTTAGATATTTGAGTTTTGGGCTAACCAATGCTCCAGCTACATTCACACGCTTGGTTAGGAAGTTAGCTCAAGGTCGTTCAGACGTTATCTACTATTTAGATGATCTCTTACTATTTCATAATGATCTGGATACACACATTCAGGGTTTGAAATCTCTTCTTGGTAAAATTAAAAGTTTTGGCTTAACCATCCGACCTTCTAAGGTCCAGATAGCATTTCATGAGCTAACATTTTTGGGTCATGTTATTGGAAATGGTCTCCTTAAACCAGAAGACTATAATGTGGGCAAAATTCTAAAAATCCCTACCCCCAAAAACCAAAAAAGCATGTTAGAGCTCTACTGGGTCTATGTAACTTCTACGCTAAATTTATTCCCCATTATTCCTCTATAACATCTGTGTTGTCTGAGTTGACAAGAAAGACGATGCCTCGAGAGGTGTTTTGGGATGAATCCTGCGCACAAGCACTCAGCCAGATACAAAGAACATTTAACAATAAACCATTTCTGAGATTGACTAATCTATCACTTGATTTTTATGTTTCCTCAGATGCTTCAAATGTCGCACTGGGAGCAGTAATTTCCCAAATGTACGATGGGACTTTACATCCTTGCCTCTATGCAAGTCGCAAATTGTCCGACACTGAAACACGCTATAGTGTCGGAGAGAGAGAAGCACTGGGAATTTACTGGTCCATCGCAAAAATTCTCCAGGTACCTAATAGGGAGAACGTTTTTATGTAATTACAGACCACAAGTCACTTGCTGTTTTGAACACAGGGTCTGTAACAAATGCCCGTATTCTTCGTTGGACTTTGTTTCTTCAGACGTTTAACTATACCATCATCTACCGGAGTGGTAAGGAGAACGTACTTGCTGACTATTTGTCCAGATTTCCTTGTACATCATGAGACAATCAGTTCCTTTTCACATTGGAATTTTTATACCTCACTACACTGCAATGGATGCTTATATATTGGTATCAACATACTTTATCCAGATATGTATATTTCAAGGACATACCTATGAGAAGTGTTTAGTTAGTTAATTTCTCAAGTGTTTTGGACAGATGATTCCATTTATTGGGATTGACAGTAATTATGATATGTGGATTTAGCTTATGAGTTATTAGTGAACCAGTTATGATATTATATTGTATTTCTTGTTGTTATTTCATGTCTTATAACAAAAGTTATCATCATTTTATTTACATGCATTCTTTTTATAACAAAAGTTATCATCATTTCGTTTACATGCATTCTCACTTAACTACATGTTGATTTCACTAGATATAGTCCAATATAAGTTGTCTAGATGACTACAACAGAGTTAAAATTATACAACTGAAAGCATAGATTTTCAGTTTGTGAGAGGGGGGGATAAGCTGTTGTAATCTTATTGTCCAAAGAGTTAAAGTTTCTTCTAGTTTCTTCTAGTGGTCACAGCGCAGGTGAAAGGTTCACACAGCGGCCACCGGTCGGGTCTGTTACCTGGGATACCAGCTAATTGAATGCTGGGCGATTAACACAAAGGCTCCTGCAGAACACAAAGGATTCGGCAGTCAAGATATTTCCCTTGTTCGAAGCAGACGTTCCCTCTTTGTGAGGTTTTATTTAATTAACCGTACTTACACGGGAGACAGTTTAATGTCTATTTATTTATTATAATGGCAGGAGTCCATTGAGAAAAGAGTGTAATTCTTTTATATTCTCAGAGTAGATAATAGGGAGTTATTATCGTACGTTTTATTGAATAATCATCATCATCTTGTGACGTGTAACTTTAATCACAATAAAGTTTATGTGGCCTGTCACAAGCGTTATTGTTGGCTTGTAAAGATAGCAACTGTATTACATGATGCTGTGTCGGTGCCAAGTGTGCCAGTTATAGAATGCAGGACTGCACTGTAGCACATCCATCAAGGAGATATCCAGCGGAGTACTAGAATAGGCACCCTAGGCCTAAATACTTGGTTCTTGAAATTACAGTGTACTACAACAAAGTGTACAACAAATTAAGTGTACAACAGTGACTCAAGCACACTGAGTCACCACCTCCTTGAAAATATAAGATGGGGAAAGGGGTGGGCTAAAACTCCCTAGAATAGATGTATTGGGTTAAGACCACACACCCGTCACCTCTCGGCAATATGTCTCTTTTTAAGGATTTGGTTTTACATTGTCCCAGCGGCCCTAAATCCTCAGGCTCACGACTCTCTGTCTACACCGCCTTTTTAAAATCGGTACACACAGACAGTAGTAACAGTCTGTTATATATTATTATTCAAGTTATATTAGTAAATGCATTTGTCATCTAGCATTTGTCATCATCATCATTATCATCATCATCATCATCGTCATCAACTACGTAAGTAAGTCTGTGATCACCTTGAGCACACCTGTATGAGAATAAATGCAAGAAACTGAGCATGCAAATGTTTTCTTTGTGTTGCAGTCCCCTAAGCAGTGTTTAAAAAAATGAAAACAAAATAACTGTACTGTGATATGAAAAAAGTTCATTTTGGTTCTCCTGGTTAAAAATGAGACATGATAGTATTCAGAACAAGCCCATTCTCAACAGCCAGCAAAAAGTCCCCCCTACTAATGATACCTGTTATCGCCTGGTTCTACTTGGCTTGCTTCGGTCTAGACTAAAGATGCGCCCAGCACCCACAGACACTTCCCGCTACATATTTCTGTCCAGGAACGGGTTTTTAATGTCTTAAATTTTGCTTTTCATCATGACAGGAAAGTCGAAAGTCGAGAACTCCATCACGACCAGAGGCAGAGCAGTAGCAGAGGCAGACCGAGTAAAATGATGTTTAAATGTATGTAGCCGTGAAATAGAGTATGATCATCAAATTTCAGAAAGTGGCATAACGTGGCAGAATACTTGATTAGGCTTTTTATTATAATAAATGGATCTGACAATCCGGTCATAGGGATTCAAATGTTTATTTGTCTTTCACAGATGTCATTATATTTTATACATTGATTCAAAACCGGTAAGGAAAAATCTATGTTTTCTTTATCAAATCAAAAAACAGTCAAGGAAGTTGGTGATTAGCAACAGATTAGTGATGAAAGTGTCTTATTGCTGACAATGGCAAAAAAAAAACATTAGGATATCATACACAGAAGGTTTGATTTCTCTGAATTTCGTAAGAGTTAAAAAGCAATCGTTTAACCATTGTAGTAACGTTATTACATAGACATATTTTAGTGCAATGTTTATGTCTTTAACCATGATGCCCATGTCCTCCACCATGTCCTCCGTATCCCCCACTGTGGCCGCCATGTCCTCCAGCGTGACCGCTACCGTGACCTCCACCGTAACCGCCGTGTCCTCTACCGTAACCTCCACGGCCTCCTCCGTGGCCCCCGTGGCCCCCACCGTAACCGCCTCTGCTTCCGTGACCTCCTCCGTGTCCTCCTCCATGACCTCCACTCATGACTCCAACAATTAGAAGACCTGGGGAAAATAATGATAACTATAAACAAATAGCTACAATATTCCATCAAAGTTGTATGCGCACAATCATTAATGACAGCACTGTGTATGAAGACATTACAGTCAACGCCGCCGACCCCAGAAACTCCCTTAAGAGCTTCTAGACACTAATTTATTATAAAAATAATCTAGCCCAATATAAATAATACACCACAAGAAATGAATAAATCCTCAGAGCTGTTCGTTCCCTCTCTTCCCCCTGCCTATATGCAAGTATATCATCTGCAAAAGTCAGTATCTTTCTAACTCCTGAGGCTTCTATTTTGCTCGTATACACGTTAAAGTGCACAGGCGAGATGGCGATTCAATGTGGCAGTCCTTGGGACAAACTGCATGGTTCTGAGGTCCATGAGCCCAGTTGGAGATCATCTAACTCTGTTATAATCATCCTCGAGATCCAGTGCTGCCGGAATAGTTTCCTTTCTGTTCTGGAACCCTTCATAGACGTGAAAAGCAAAATTAGTTCCTTTTTCTCAAGTCTTCTTCTTCTTCTTCTTTTAGTCGCCTGAAATAAGTTGTCTATATCAGCAATTTTGTCTCTTGTATAAATTTCACTGTCGTTGTTAGTTCATTCAGTGGTCCATAGAGTTTACGTTCCACTGTTGTTGTTTCTGGCCAAACGGTTTGCCTTAATGTATCAAATTCGGTGCAGTCCTTTAGTAAATGCTCTGCTGTCTGGGGCACCTTTCCACAGGTGCACATAGCTGAAGCGCCTATCTTGAATATTGTGTACATGTGGTTAGGTAATCGGTTGTGCCCTGTTCTGAGGCGGAGGATAATGACTTGTTTTGATCTGTCCATAAAAAAAAAAAAAAAAATAGTCGTCTTGTGCTGGGGTTGGTGGTTTCCCAATCGATATAATGATTCTTTTTTTATTTTTTTTTTAAGTTTTAAATCAATTTTATTGAATGTTAAAGTGGGTCTGTGTACACGATTGCGTGGTTTCTGTATTGTACGTATTTAATATACAGGCGTCTGCGGTGTGCGTATTTTGTTTAGTGTTCTATACATGTGTTGCCGTGTGTGAGTATTTGTGGTGCAAGTGTGTGTGCAAACAATATATACATTTTTACACGGACTTAGTATTAGTAGGAGATTGTGAAGTAGATAGTAGGTGAGTTAAGATTTGAATTTCCAGACCGTTAGGTTAAGGGGTTTGTAAGGGGAGGTCGAGAGAGGAAAGGGAGAGAGAGAGGGAGATAAAGGTGGGAGAGAGGGTAAAGAGTTGAGCGTGTGAGAGTAAGTGAGGCATTGAGGAGCATGTTAAAGCACGAAACGTATAATACTTTATACATATTCATATTGACAGTTTAATAAGTCACCGTTGTATGGTGAGGTCGAGGGCAATAATTTGAAGTCCAAGTCCTGGTGTGTATGTGACTGGTACATCGGGCTGCACTTTTGTCGCACCTTCCCCTGCCAGTAGATCAGCTTTCTCATTTCCTGATCGGTCTGTAGTCGGAGGCATTGTAACTGTCTTTCCCAGGCTTTATGGGGGGTATCATAATTGCCTCTCTCCAGATATGTGAAACATTCATGTTGCCCAGCAAACATTAAATATCTGTACAAGCTTTGTTTGAGTTATCATCTGCTCCTGGTGACTTTCGCATTTTTATCTTTGAAATGTCCAACTCAAGTCCAATTAAAGTTCATTAAGTGTAATTGACACCTCTAGTGCCTCTGACGTTATTTCTTTCTGAATTGTGACTCTTGAATTCCCCCCCCCCCCTTTTTTCTCTCTGAACTGATATTAATGACGTTATCTAAAGCAAAAGTGTCTGCAAAGAAGATGGCTGCCTATGTTTTCGTGATCATGTTTCCATCTTTCTGCAGCGTGATCTTTGAGTTCCACTCGGTGTCCTCATCATTAATTTGTTTTAGAATCTTCCATAACTTTCTTGCGTCTTTTTCAAAGTTCAGAGACCTTGTTTTCTCCTGCCAGCTTTCCCTTCTAACCTGCAGCTTTGACCTTACAAATGTTGCTTTTGCATGCTGGTAGTTATTGTGATATTCTTGGTTTGGCCTGGTCTTTTCTTTCTTTCTGGATGTTTCCACTTCGTTTTGTAAATTTTCTAGTTCATATTCCAGTATGGCTTTTAATGCTTACGGGCACCTCTTGGTATTGATTCTCCTGCTGCCTGTAGTACGCATTTGTTAAATTCTTTAACTACATTGTTTATATCCTGGTCTACGCTGAGATTTCCAAGCAGTATACTGGTACGTTGCTTGAACATTGTCCAGTCAGCCTTCTTGTAGTTCCACCTTGGCAGCGTACTTGAGTCTCTGACCTCCTCATTTTCTATATTCAGGAAGACAGGTCGATGGTCACTGCCTTGCAGATGTTTTCCAACAGCTCGTGTAATGATCTTTTCCAGATCTGGAGAGGGAAATGCTAGGTCTGGGGTAGTAGTGGTGTGCCACGACCTCGAGTAGAATGTGGGTGGTTCAATTGGCCCATTAATCAGATCAAGACTGTTCTCATCCTGCCACTTCTCCAGTTTCTCTCCTCTCTGGTCTACGTGGTCGTAGCCCCAGCTTTGTGAGTTGCTGTTAATGTCTCTATATAGAATCATCTTTTTGTTTTCTACTGGGATTGCGTCTAATGCCTGGGGACAATCACTTGGGTCCTAATGAAGCAATGATGCGCAATACAAGACTCTTAATGGATATTAGCCTCTTTTGCTCATGCCTACCTCTCCTTCACGTGGTGGACCCTGTTCTTTCCAACAATCTTGTTGAAGGTTGGGGTCACAACTCCCAACGGGAAACTGGATGGGACAACAAACGAGGAAAAGGCGAAGGGGTGAGCCTACTCTCCTCGAGTATGATCACAGTCTACCCTATCAAAACAAGGTGCTGAAGTTGGAGGCAACCAGCCAGGACGCGCACCGCAGCAATCAGCATGCCACGCACACACACCATGGAAATATGTCTAAATCAGCAAAACGATATTGTGCTCGTCCTGTGATTTTCCCAAGTGTCTTTTACTCTCAAAAAGTAGGCAAACATTATCTAGGTACTTTACTTACTAACAGTATTTTTGAACAAGGAAGAAACAAACAATAGCTTGCACAACTCAAATGCAACTGTCTACTTTTCCATGGCAGCCGCAGAGTGAGAATCGTGCCCTGGTAAAACGGTCAGTTGCATTTGATTGGTGTATTTGTATTTCACTTATAAAAGATTCACTTATTTGCCTTATGTATGTAATTGTTACTGTAGTATGCACCTGAAGAGATACAGCGAAATATGCCAGGCAATAAATTGTGTAATTTATTGTTTGCATCTTCTATGTTCCAATTTACAAAGGGCAAACATTGCTTTGATAATATATTTTGTAGAATATCTCATTATAAGATGAGCGTGAAAAAAGTTTTATGAGTTTAACTGGATGATCATCCTAAACAATGTCATACATAGGTCAGTATATTGACTTGAAATCCGCATTTGCCAGTAAAATACTAATGATATTTTTTTAGAATCAGAGCCGATATATCAAGATACACAGAAGTTTTTTTTCGACACTTTTTAGTACATGCAAAACAGTTAATATCCTGTCCTTTTTAGACATTTACAAAGCAGTCCCAGCTTTCATTGCCCGTTAAAAAAGATTTTATTTGGACATTCTACACTTGGTTATTTGGCATTGTTTTCTTAACAGTCTCGTACAATCATCAGAATCGACGCAACTCGTCTTGCTCTAAAATAACCAACAGCTTACTACGAGCTGTGTTGACAACTAAGCCATGGATGCAGATATTTTAGTATATAGAAGTAAATACGAGTATTGGAAATCAAATATGGCGTGAAACATAACATAGTTCCCATCCGGCAGTAAATAAGCAGGAAGACTTTTTGTGATCTCCCTACAGAGAATTATCATTAGCTACAGATCTCATGAGATGTTAAAGCAATAAGTAAATAAGTTCATTATGTAATGTTCGCAGTCTTGCAAGACATTTAGTGGAGCACTCATCGATCAAAATACTAGCCATTATAAATATTTTGAGACGTAATTTACAACTTGACTATTAATTGCTAATGTTTCTAGATTATAGTGTGTATTCTGTAATGTTCCTTTTACTTTATTGTAAAATATTATAAACTTATGTGTGTTTATTTTTGTGAGTTGGGAATTTGACACACTGAGGCGATGCAATGAGAAATTTACTTACAGAGACAAATCGCAGCAACGTAAGCGATCTTCATTGTCAGGAGAAATCAGGCAGCGTCTCTGGGTAAAGATGGAGGAGTTAATAGCGTTGCAACTCTTGAGTCAGTTGTGAACTGGCTGTAATACAGGCAAGGAATCTCTGGTTTAAATAGACAAATCAGAGGATCTGTCACTGGCTTTTGCATGACGAAGCATCTTTACATGCCTTCATTAGTTATGTATGTTATGCGTGTCACCGTTCTTACCCCCCACAACATGCATAAAAATGTCATAGATCCTTAAACAACTTCTTCTGAACTAACACTGTAGTTAAGCAAACGTTAGGCTCCTGCTTTTGTACCATCTCTGTTTATACAACAAAAATACAACATTATTGGAACTGAGATGTGGTGTTCTTTGACATGCT